CTTCCTCCGCACTCCCAATACATTTCCAGATTCGTTTTTTTTACAAACCCAGTGAGAAATGTCGAACCAAAAAAGGTTTTTAGCTGCAGACTGTCACTGGCTTCATGCATTTTCTCTGCTGAATGGGAGACGCTGTGTGTGTGCACTGAAATATTGTGCTGCATACAGCTTTGTCTGTTCAACAACAAGATCCAGGATCCAGAAGTTCATCAGTTATGAAGAGCTGCAGAAGTCAGCTGCTGATCCAAATCAAGCTCTGCTGCAGCATTTTGGGGTCCGGGGGTCAACAATCTACAACACAAAGGAAAATATAAAATCACCATAAATTTTCACATTATAACAAGTGTTTTGGCTTGACATTGACATGACATTGAGATAAAAAAAAAAAACTCTTCAATACTCGCTAAAAACGTTACTTTGTTTATTTTTACTATAGTATAAGTCAGTGATTACTATAGTCACTCCCTCCAGAATCTCTCAATGTTTGAACGCAAAATCACGCAGACTCCGGGATCAGAGCAACAGAGTCATGGTGCTTTCAGACCGAAAATGCTGAAACGCAGCAGCCCAGCTTACCAGACGCGCATTCTCTAGTTTTCAGACGCCGAGGCTTGCACACCGCCAAACGACGCACGAACACAAGCACGCCCACCTCACTACACTTCCGCCGGAAGCGTGAGGCGTATGGGCCTGGCTTTCCATATTCACAACAACTCAACAAGATGGCGGATCAGGCGAGGCAGCAAGCGTTCGTTTACTTGGTTCATAGAGTTCTTGAACGACGGCGTGTCTGGGTTCACGATATCCTCCAGAGACGGTCAGAGTATGGCGATTTGTTACAAGAGCTGCGGCTGGATGAGGTGCGATTTCAGCGGCACTTCCGCCTCACGGTGGCCCAGTTCGATGACCTGTTGGGGCCGCGTAGGTGCACGAATCTCTCACCAAGACACCAACTACAGACGTTCCATCTCTCCTGCAGAGCGCCTCTCCATCTGCCTACGGTCAGTAATTGTGTATGTGAGTGTGTGTCTTTGTCTCTGTGTGTGTGTTCGGTCTGTTTGTGTGTGTCTTTGGCCCTGTTTATACTGAGACGCTGCGCAGACGTTTCCAGGCTATTAACAGAAACGACCTGGCTCCTAATGCAAATTTCTCAGCGTTCACATGAGGTTGAAAAACGATGTAGTTCTAGCGCCCGGCCAGTAGTGGGCAGATAAACTTTACAACACGACACACGACCCCCAGCCCCGTGCCCAGCCCCCCTCCCGGCAGTGTACTCACTTCCTGTGCCAGACCCTCAGAATGTACCAACATCATTCTGCATTTTAACAGCAGCTGTGAACATGGAAACTGAACCTAGAGCTTCGCGTGGTCTCGTTTGGAAGAACGAAGGAGTAGAATTATCCTCTGTCCCGCGCTGGAAACCCACGAAGCTAGTTAGTGTGACCGCCGCCATTTTTGTTTTTGTTTGTTCTCCGCTACTGCACATGTCCAAATTTACGTGCGGGGAGCAGCGCGAAGGACGGGGTCAGAGCAGAGGGGGATTTCACACCTTTCCCCTCTCGCGGATGTGAAAGAGCCCCCGCTGTGCAGCGTTTCTGAGTTGTCCCACTCTGCAGGCTGGATCTGAACACTTACGTTTTCACCCCCCTGGAACACAGTCTTCGTATGAACGGTTGGTAGAAAACGACATCCAACTATACCGTTTTACTGCCACATTGTCTCCGTGTAAACTCAGCCTTAGTCTCTGTGCGTGTCGGGTTTCCTCCAGAGGGGGGGATGGGGGGGATCAGTCCCCCCCTAGCCATGGCCCTAGGGGGGGACATCCCCCCCTCAATTTTCTAAAACATTCATGTATACAATTCTCAAATCATAAAGTGCAAAAACATTACTGTCTAATCTATAATCTAAAACATGATAGTAAAAAAATTACATACAAACACCAGATCAGAAACTTGTGTTATTCTTTATTCTGAATTGGAGTCTCCTCAGATGAATAGCGATTCTCTTTTCGCGGTCTTGTAGATTTATTTGTAGCATGATTTTCACTGTATATGAACTTGCAATGTTCATCCTGATTGGCTAAGGAAGAACCAGCGTAATGTGTTCTGCGTCCTGATTGGCTAAGGGGTAATCTCTGTGCCATGTTTCCTGTATCACAGCATTCAGCCTGACAAATGTAAATCCATGTCTGAGAGCTAGCAGTATGACTGTAAGTGCTGTATGCTAATTTTCTCCTTGACAAAACCATGGACTAAACCCACAACATGGTTAGTGCTAAAAGTTTGTGTTCAATAGTGGAAAATAAAGTACCACATACTTTGATTAGTCCATTCGTACCTTTTCTCGTGCACAGAGTCACGAGAATATTGTGCATGAGAAATACTCTGTTTAACACACTCACATTAAAGATAGAGTAAGAATTTTAAATATTAGAAACGCGATCAGTAAATAGAAACTTTATGTAGGTGAGTTCAGAATAAATTTTGGTTCCCTAGTACTCCAATTGATATTACAAAACCTCACTATTTGTCAGTATGGCAGATATTAACATTGGGCCCTCAACATTTGTATCATCATATAAAGACATTCATACGGGAGAGACGAGGACGAGAATGCCTTTGAAGAATTTAGTGAGAGGTAGTTTTGGCGCCCTAGGCCCCCGTGCGGCGTTCAGTCAGCGAGGCTCCTGCGAGAGTGCGCGCACAATCCCCCCGGGACCTAGCACTGGGGGCGGCATTTGGCAGCATAAAGGCAGATTGAGGCAAGTGAAGAGCGGAGGAGAGGGAGGCGGTGATTGCAAGTGCTTCCGAGAAGGCCGTGAAGTGGGAGTTTCCTCCCGTTTAAGCGGCCTGGCCTGCCGGCACGGATTGATTGGAGAGGGCTTTGGTCTTGCGATAGGCAGGGGATCGAGGCCGCTGGAAGGGGTGGCTTTGCTGACTCTTCCCAAATTGAATTTCCGCGAGCTGCATCCTCTGTACTTAATGGTAACATGTTAGTACGCGCCTTATATTACCTGAGCTTTGGAAGAATTCACAATGTGAAGTAGCTGTTCCCCTTATCCTTACTTGCTTAAATCATAATACAAGTGTAATTAACTGTTTAATACGACCCTTGATTTAGGGCCGTTTATCACGCCAATTTTTTTTTTTTTTTTTTTTTTTTTTTTTTTTTTTTTTTATTTGATTATTTTTTTGATTTAGTGACCAATGTTAGCATACAACAGTAAACAACCGTAGCATATCACAGAGACAAGAGAAGTAATGCAAACTTTGAACAAACCTTGTTCCCTCTCAACAAGGTGCTAAGGCTGAAACAAACTATAGAAAACAATTTTGTATTTTCCCCCCCCCGACCCCCTCGCCTATACTTCTCAGAGCTGTGGAGAAATTCTACAATGTCAATATTGCCAATATATATGCTGTAAAGAGGGGCCAAAGTAAAATTTTCTATCTGCTCATTTATGCTGTAAGGTATGGTTCCTTCTACAACTACGCCTCTTAATGACAAATTAAAAAGAACTACGAATGTATCTACATAGACACAAAATTCTCAACAACACTTTTAGTTTACATATAAACACTTGCATGGAGTTGAGGTCACATGGCGGCGCATTTTCCTTTTCGGCCAAGTTCCTTGTAGATGATGTTTCGAAAACCTCCGATTGATTCTGTAACGGGCATGGGGCTCCATTTCCCCCAATAGAGTGACCATGACTGTCCGCAAACAACTGATCCTCTATTTCTGTGGGGAGCCCTGAGAGTTCTGCTGGAGTGCAAGAGAGCGCTCTCCTTTCAGCCTTCTTGCTCCTCTTCCGTTTTGGCTCTGTGAACAGAGGAAAATACTTCTTTTAGAAATTGCACACTACGGACAACAGATATAACTGGTCGCAGACGTGAAGTAGGTCACCAAGTATATTGATATGTGATGCTAACCTGGAGGTGTTTCCTGGGGTCAACAGAAGCCTTGGGTTGGTTAGGGAGAGGCAGGGATTGGTGGCGGGTGGATGTCCCCGAAGCGCAGGAGATGAAACCTCATGACTTCTGTAATGCATTGTCTTTTAGTAAACATAGGCGTTGTCTGAAAGTATAACACAGGTTGCTAAGGTATATATAGAGAAGAAAAACTTCTATAAAAAAACTTGAATTACAGAAAGCATACATTGCAGATATGGCCCAAGTGTATGCTATGGACGTGATATAAATTTCATATAGGCAATTGTCCATTTCAACCCAGTACAAACCTTCAGTCCGCGCAGAGGCCCCCCCTCTTCGACAGGCGGTCCTTCCTCCACTCCGACCCAAATTGCTGGTGGGTGGGCGCGCGCGGGTAATGGAAGGTCGAGGAACGAAAGGCACTTGCTACCTCCACTTCGCAGTCCCCGCTGCAGAGCCACTCCTCCTGTACGTCTTTTTTTCCTTTTCATATAAGTGTCACGTAAGACCGCCATCGCTTCTTGCAAATTCGACTGCAAAGAAATCAGATACTAGTCAAATTTCCCCTCAAAAAACTAAGCCTAACAGAACCAATTTACGAATGAATGAGACTCAAAAAACTTACAGGAGTTTGAGCTGCTGCGCAATGGCGTGTTTAAATGACGCGGTTCTGGCTCACATGGGGAAAATATACGCCTGTGAGTGGCGTGATTACGTCAGTGGTGTGCGTGCTCTCTGATTGTGTCGCTGCACGAACATCTCGAGGAAAAGTTGAGCGGAATCCATCTCCTGTGGGCAGTTCATGTTCCGCTCCTTCTCCTCCCGTTGACTTTCGCGGCCAAGGCCGTGCGTTTCAACTAGGGCGGTCCGTGCGTGTGTGCCGAGAGTCCCGTGCAATCGACGCTGAAACGCGACTCCCCATTGACTAATTGCATTGAACGCAGACGCAACGACTGTCCCGGTCTGAATAGCCCCATAAAAGACTCACTCTCTCTCACTCTCCCCTGCGATGCACGCTCCAGTGCCTCGAAGGCTGCCCGGACACAGGCAGGGAGTGCACCCCGTGCTTCATCTGCTTCCCCTGCCCTGGGCTGACTGACGCCTATCACGCACCGCCCAGATCACGGGCCTCTCTTCTCTCCCCAGGGGAGAGTGAGAGTGCCGCAATGAACGCTCCAGTGCCTCGAAGGCTGCCCGGCCTTCGGGAAGGGAGGCTGTTTGCCCCGCTTGACCTTCCCGCGTGTCTGGGGAGATGGCGTGGAGACAGAGCACTGAGGTCTCTCCCTCTTTTCCATCAGACAGCTTCCGCGCAGCCATATTCCCCTCCGTCAGCAGCTCTGGGTGCTGGGAAATTTCCCCTCCTCCACGCAAGCCCTCTCAGACAAGACAGAGAGGGCTCCGAGAGCAGGGACAGGAGAAGTCCGAACTCCAACCTGTGCCCAAGTATGAACCAGTGTTCACTACGCCACACGTGAGGCCCACATCCCGGAGGAGCCAAGAGGCTCGCCCTAGGTTTTGGCCCGTAGGTAACGGTCCAAGACTGGTCTGGTTCCAGCGGAGTCTGACGCGGAGGACGCGTTGGGGCTTACGTTCTCCCCGCGCCTTCCATGGGTCCAGGCAACAGACCACCCTCTCCCTCCGAGCGGGAGAAGGAAAAGGTCTAGCCGCACTGGAGGGGTGCAATGCCCAACGCGGATCAGGGGTCGCGATATAGTCTAGATCAAGGCAGCAGGGCTTTTAATAAATGGGCGCCTCTGAATGATCTCTCTCGCGGGCCAGGCGCTCAGCGGAGAGGATTTGACTGAGGGGCTGGTCGATTGACTTGAACACGCGACCGGACCCAGACCAGACCAGAGAGCATCCAGTCCAGAAGCGCTCCTGCCTTTCGCGGATCACACTCTCCCAGACCCGCTCTCTTTCAGCGAGACCCGAGTCCCGAGTGGAATCTGCGGGGTGGCTTGGAGCTCGGAGTGCTACTCTCCCCCTTACAGTATTGGGCGACTGGAGGTAGAGGCTTTCTTAATAAAAGAGAAACACCCGTATTTTGTGTGGTAAGACCGTCGTTGCTTAACGCTCGTCTGCCATGCTTCCTCTCACTCAGCTGGAGAGGAAAGGGGCAATCAAGACTGCTATAAGTAAGGCAAGAGGCCAGGACGTTCTCTGTCCTCCACACGCAGCATATCAACTGGAGAGACCTGGACTCCACACACAACGCAGCACCTTGCCCTGTTGAAACTGCGTGTTTTGCTAAGCAGTTGTCTGCACTGGGAAGAGACCTGGACTTCACACACACCTTGCTCTAAGCCTGGGGTCTCGTGGCGCAGACGACAGACCAAAAAACCACAGAGATTCGCTTGGTGTTCATTATGAACATTATTCACTGGTAAAGGACCTTGAATCTCACACAAACGTGTGACCATACCAGACGAAAGATCTGGTCTGTCCATTACCAGGGGGACCAGCGCCCCGCCCCCTTCTGAGAGAAGGGACGGGAAAGACCAGTCGAGGGACACACAGCTATTGGTCCCAGAATCTGTCCCCTGTTACCCATGGAAAACCAGTGCACCCTGGCGACCGCAGCGCCTTCCATTCCTCCCTGAGAGGTTTGAGGCTCGGAAAACAGATGCCCGCCCCCTCTGAGAGAAGGAGCGGGAAAGACCATCGAGGGACGCACAGCTTTTGGTCCAGAAGTCAGAGCGCTGGTTATCATGGAAACCAATGCTCCCTGGCAACCCCAGCGCCTCACATCCGAGAGGTTTGAGGCGGGAAACAGATGAGGACCTCACAGGCGATTGGTCCAAAGTACTGGCCGCGTTGCCATGGCACCCATTCCCATAGCAGACAGTGCTTCCGCTCATGATGAAGGGGACGGCAAATCAGGCTGCAAATAAGTGATGTAGAGAGACCAGGACTTCTCTGTCTCACACAGCATAACGCAGGGGGGTTTGCGTGCCCTTTTGCCCCCCCTCCCCCCCCCCTCTCTCCCTAAACTCTGTGAGCACCAGGAGAGGGCGGGCTTGTGAGAGATAACTTCGAGTCCTGAATGCGCCCCTCTACTAAAGGCCTAGTTACTCCTAATGTAACCTAGTTCTACAAGAGCGCGTAGCCCCTTAGGTTCCCCTGACGTAGACCTAGGGGATGTAAAGCATCCGGACGTAGAATTCCAAGCGCTTGTTCCGCAGCTTTGTCAAAACAGCTGCTGGAAGGCGTCCAGAAACCGGAGACTGATGTCCTTCCACGATCTGACGTATGCTTACGTCCCCACGTAACATTGCGCAGATTACAGGCTGTTTCTGCGCTTTGCGGTGGGGGGGAGTGCTACGAGTTTTGCCGTCTCCCATCTCGGATACGCTCTGGCCCCGCGCACCTTCTCCAAGTGCGTCGAGGCGCAACTGGAGGCCACTCAGATAAGAAGCAGGGGTCAGGATTTTAACCTCATGACTTTGGTTAAATCCTGGCCGGATCCAGGGAAATGGGCCGCGGCTCACACACCTTGGTTCAGTCTCACATACAACGTCTGGGCTTGTAGAGACAGAGAAAGGGGGGGAGGAAGAACAGGTTACAGCCCTGCCCAGCGCATGTCTATCTCGGTCTGCACTGACGCGGTGCGGTTCAGGCTGCGTTATCCGAGGACAGACAGGAGAGCATCACCCGCTTGGCAGGGAGGCGCTGTCCCGCTCCAGAGTGCCAGCTCGGAGCCTCGATCGCTGCGGGGAATGATGGCGGCGGCCCATGCCGGGTGCGTCTGGGCCTACCGTCACATGAGGAGATATCAGAGATGGTTTCTCTCGTCTCGGCCTTCACCCACACGGAACAGGGGGAGAAGCTCGTGATTACCCCCCGACCGTAGCATTGACGATCAGATTCTGGCTCACCCCGGGTTGAAGATAAATAAGATGTGCTTTATTTAATCTCACAGAGAGAAATTTACATGTCACATTTGGCATGGATAGAACAACCAGATTTGCAAAAGGAAGAAATGTGCAAACAGTTAAATGCGAGGATATATGTACAATAAAAGTTGACCAATAAGTAAACAAAAGTGACAAGTGTCAATGAAACGTGTTAATACAAACCTTGCAGAAACGGGTACAGCTCATGGATGTATTATAATAACTGGATAGGGTATTACTAGCTTGTAGCTGAATAACTCACGTGCTCGGGGGATTCTCGCGGTACTGCAGACTGAACCAGACTAAATTCACGAGGGCTACCCAGAAATGTTCCCCATAGAACTCAATGCATATTAAAACAGCTCAACCTCAGCTGACAGAGAACCTGACAGAGAACCTGACAGAGAACCTGACAGAGAACCTACAGCTTTAATAAAGATCGGATTTTGTGGGGATTTTAGTGTCCCTTCTCATCCTGAATTTTTTTCTTCTTAAATCCTTCGGTTTTGTTTAAATCCAGACTTTAGTGCCACAAACTCTGCTCGTCTGGCTCTCGCTCTAACTCCCGCTCTGATGAACTGCTCTGATTGGTCAGAGCGCGGCCGAGCCCCTCTGTGCACGTGCGTGAGACCCGGTGTGAGACCCACACACGCGTGTTTGGCGCAATGCATTATGGGAGATCATCCACTGCACAGAACCGGGAGGACCAGACGATGCCCAAATACAGGCGAGTTTCCCATAGATCTTTGCGAGTTTCAGGCAACTTCCGCTAATCTTTCAGCCCCCATGCCGTCACAAAGCGCCACTGAGCACAACCATTCATTTGAATCGGGCGCCATCTTGGATCGCCGGGGCTTGGTACAGCTCCTTTAATGTGAACACCCAGTTCCTTGAAGTTGTCCACCAGCTCAATGTCCTCCCCCTGGATGTTCAGCAGCGTGTGGGAAAGTGGTTTTCTCCTGAAATCGATCACCATCTGCAGACTACCACCTCAGACTCACAGCTGCGCAGCCGCATGTACTGTGGTCGGTCCGAGAGGTAGTCGATGGTCCATGCAGTGAGGCTACTGTCCACTCCCGCGTCCTCCATCTTCCCCCGCAGCAGTGCCGGTCTGATGGTGTTGAAAGCACTGGAGAAGTCGAAGAACATGACCCTCACAGCGCTCCCGGCGGGCTCCAGGTGGGAGAGCGTCCGTTGCAGGAAGTAGATGGCGGCGTCCTCTACTCCGATGTTGGGCTTGTAGGCGAACTGCAGCGGGTCCAGGGTGGGGCTGACCACGGAGCGGAGATGGGTGAGGATGAGCCGCTCCATGGTCTTCATCAGGTGGGAGGTCAGTGCGACTGGTCTGTAGTGAGCCGGTTCCTTGGCGTGCGGTGTTTTAGGAACCGGGATCACACAGGAGGTCTTCCACAGGACAGGGACCTTCTCCAGGCTGAGGCTCAGGTTGTACATGTAGCTGAGGACCCCAGAGAGCTGGTCTGCACAGGTCCTCAGCAGCCTGGGACTGATCCCGTCCGGTCCTGCGGATTTCCTCAGCTTCAGTCGCTGGAGCTGACTCCTCACCTGGTCCCGTGTGATGGAGGGGGGACTGGGGTGTATTGTCAGAGGTGGGGGGCGGGGATGTGGGGGCAGGAGGACCAAGGGCAGACATGTGAAGAGGTGGGGGCGGGAGGGGGGGCAGATGGAGAGGGGGGAGAATCAAACCGGTTGAAATACTGGTTAAATTTATCCGCCCGGTTCTGGTCTCCATCCGCTGTACCGCTAGCACTCTGTCCAAAGCCGGAGATGTTCTTTAGGCCTCTGGACTTTTGTATGTCTATGTAGACTTACAAAAGTGAAAGTGATGTGTACAACAACAACAAAACATTCAAGTAGCGACAAAACATGGGGACATACAAAGAAATACAAATATTGAGACAACATGAAACATTACCATATGGGAGGGAGGTGTGTGTGTGTGTTTTGATATTAATCTTTTTGTATTGGTAATGTTTAGAATGTTATTAGTCAGAGTAGATGGGTGTAGCATGTTTTGTGTTAGACTTGTTTTACTTTTGATTAAATTCTTGAGTTGTTGGTATTGAAGAAATGGCTCTCTCCCAACCCCGTACCTCTGGATAACTGCGGTGAATGACATGAATGTATTGTTTTCAAACAGGTGGTGAAGGTGAGAGATGCCCTTTTGCTGCCAGAGTGGGAAGTGAATGGGGGAGTTGTGTAGTTGGAAGTCAGGGTTGTGCCAGATAGGGGTGTTTTTACATGGTGATAGTGAGGAGTTGGTGATTTTGTTTATTTTCCACCAGACTGTCAGAGTTGTGGAGATAGTGATTGACTTGAAGTATGGTTGTTTATGGTTTTTATGGATGGTGGTAAAAAGGGAGGTCTGCTAGGGCTGTTTTTCTGGCATTGGTTTGCTTCTAATTGAATCCATTGGTTATAATGCTTATGATTATTTATCCAGATGTATAGGTATTGTAGTTGTGTTGCATAGAATTATCGATGAAAATGTGGAGCTTCAAGTCCGCCGTGTGATTTTCTTAATCACCTTTTTGTTTTTTGTTTTTTTGAAAGATGCGCTGGGTAACGGCTGCAAGTCCTCAGTAGCTCTGATTAACAGTTGTTGTTTTGTGCTTTACAATTGTAATTTTTCCTGCTTTTTCTGCCTGAGATGTTGCTGCAGTACAGTGTGCATAGTTTTGCACTGGTCCAGACCGGAGCAGAGAGGATTCATGGTCCAAACCAAGTGGATCAGGTGAAAATCCACTGGAGGAATGCTGACTTTTTGAAAATGCTAATGAAGCATGTAGCATTTTACTTTGGACTAGAGCAGAGACAATGGTCCAACCCAAGCAGCTACTCCATCTTTTGACCTGTCCTGCTCCACCCAGAGGCTACTCCACCTCTGCTGCTTTGACCCGTCCTGCTCCACCGGGAGGCTACTCCACCTCTGCTGCTGTGACCTGTCCTGCTCCACCGGGAGGCTACTCCACCTCTGCTGCTGTGACCTGTCCTGCTCCACCCAGAGGCTACTCCACCTCTGCTGCTCTGACCTGTCCTGCTCCACCAGGAGGCTACTCCACCTCTGCTGCTCTGACCTGTCCTGCTCCACCCAGAGGCTACTCCACCTCTGCTGCTCTGACCTGTCCTGCTCCACCCAGAGGCTACTCCACCTCTGCTGCTGTGACCTGTCCTGCTCCACCGGGAGGCTACTCCACCTCTGCTGCTGTGACCTGTCCTGCTCCACTCAGAGGCTACTCCACCTCTGCTGCTTTGACCTGTCCTGCTCCACCCAGAGGCTACTCCACCTCTGCTGCTCTGACCTGTCCTGCTCCACCCAGAGGCTACTCCACCTCTGCTGCTGTGACCTGAAGGGCTGTGGCTGACAATTAGGCCGAGCCAATACGTAGTATTGGGGAGGCCTATTGTTATTCACCGGTTTCATATTATTCTTTTTCCGCCGAAACAATTCGATTTTTGACCCTGAAGACATGCACGAAAGTCTGCACATGGGGGGTCTAAAACGACCGGTTTGGCGAAACATTTGATAAAACGGACGTTTCGAGATTGTCCGACAAAAGGCGAATCAATAGCGCCCCCTTGAAATTTCAAATTTTGCCATTTCTATTGGAGGCAGGATTTCATATTTTGGAGTAGGTACACAAAATTCGGATGAGTGATAGTTTCGCCACCAATTTGACTTTTCATTTTTAACTTCAAACTAGTCCCTGGTTTTTCATCACACAGACTTCTACCACGTCATTTCCTAATCTGGATGGATTGAAGTTATATAATCATCGCAAAAAAGTTAGAATTTTGTTATCGTTTTCATGCGAGGTAGTGGGGAATTTCTCCATGTTTGATGCTCTCCTGACCACAGGCTCAGACCTACAGAGCTAAAACTCACATCGCTAACAGTTGGTAATGACCTGAGAGTAATGGTGTGAAAACACACACCTAATATGACT